ATTTTCTCAAAGATACAATGGTTGTGACTTATCTCCACCATTTATATGTTAAAACAATATTTTTCTAAAGACAATATTACCATGCATTTGTATAGTTGTCAGGCAGGGGAAGCGTTATTTTCCTGAAGGATTTTTTTGAGAAGGGACTGTGTTCCAAGTCCTCTGACACTCTCCAGTAGAAATAAGTGAGATAAAAATAAATTGTAAGAAGATGGGAGATTCCTCCAGTGGTGTTAGTTATGAAATGATTTCTGGGGCCCCCGATGAAGTCTGCTCCTGGCTGATAAGCTGAGTAGATCGAAGGCCACTCAAGAATTGAGTGAGAGCAACACAACACAGGTCTTCCCAAATCTTTAGAAGGGCTTCCAACTTTCCTAATCACCTAGTTTTTGGCCATTGTCCAGGATGTCCTAGGGAACTCAGATCCTCTTTTCTTGGTGCCCTTGTGAGTATTGGTCATCCTATCTAATAAAAGCATAATATGCAAATTGACCTAATGGCCGAACAGCAGAATGACCATCCGGGACCATGCTATGACACCCACTGGCACCAGGCCAGCTAAGGCGGGTGTGATGTGATTGGTCAGGGGCCCGGCCATTGCCCCATGATCATCCCACAGAGGGAGGCCCAGGCCACTGACCAGTGGGCTGCAGCGGGTGGCCCCGGGAAGCCCAGGTCCTGGGTTCCGGCAGCCAGAGGGAAGCCTGGGTCCCAGGTGCCAGAGGGAAGCCGGTGCCAACAGCCGGGGGAAGGAAGGCCTACTCTTGCATGAATTTTGTGCATTGGGCCTCTAGTATTGATTTTAAAATGATGGTGCAGGGATTTCTAAAGAGAGAGTGGTGATTGGGATAGGGAAACTGGTGCTTTTTGAAGCTACAGAAATTTTTAAAGAAGAGTGAGAAAACATCAATTGGCCATCTCAAAGAATGATGGTTAAGAAGTTGATGAGGATTATGGGAGCTCTAGAGATCCCAGTATCTCCACATCACACAACACTGGCTTTCATTCCTCTTTACATATTTCTCCTTGAGAATAAACCTCGCTGACAATCAGTCAAACTGAAAAAACCTACTGCACCACAGTTGGAAAAACAGGTCAGACTGTATTAAAAAAAAAGGGAAAATACAGGAATCCTGTATTTTTGTAGAGTTCTGTTTTGCCTAACTCTTTAAAAATTCTTAGATTCACCACATGGAGCTAAGACCAATGTGATACTTTCAATATTTGATATTTGAATCTAATAATATGAGTTATCATTGCCCACTGTAGTATATAATGTGCTTTCTTTCGTATAATGTTGTTTCTCAAACAGAGATCATCGGAGATGTGACACGGGTATACACGATCAAAGAATAAGGAGCATCACTTTATTGTTCCTGCTGGTAAGACATTTAAAATGCTATTTTGTATTAAAACAAACACACATCTATTATTAAATATAATGCATAATTCACTTGATTTTCTCAGATAAAACCTGAGCCTTCAAAGCAAAGCCATGCCTGAAATGTGCCACAAGGAGCTTTGCCTGCAGTGTGCTCAGAGCACTGGGGGTGCTTGGTGAAAATCTTGTTGGGAAATCTTATTTCATTTTCCCAACAAGAAGTATAGTAGAGAACATGTTTATCCCTTTGTCAAAGAGAGAACGAAGGCTTGGGAGGTTCAGAACTTCTCCAAGTCCCTTTGCCACTTTCTGCTGGGCAGTCCTATTCTAGAGTCTGTGTTCTCAGCTCTAGAAAATGCTGCCTTTCGGTGCTGTGTGGTCACTGCAATCCAAATAATTGTCCCTAATTGTGTGGGTTGAAATTCTTTGACGCTCCTTCCACCCACCAAGAGGTGGAGTCCAGCTCTCCTTCCTGTGAATCTGGGCTGGCCTGTGCGCACTTTGAGCCACAAAGTAACGAGAAATGACACCCTCTTCTGGGACAGCCTTTAAGAAACTGGCAGCTTCTACGTTGGTCGATTGAAGCCCTGGAATGCCCCACAAGAAATCAAACTACCCTGCTTGAGAGACTGTGGAGAGGCCCTGAGACTTCATAGAGTAGGAGGAGGATATATGTGAGTAAAAACATCTTAGACCCGACAACCCAGGGAGAGCAATAGTGAAAGACCCCACACAGCATCACATTGTACAGTAGAATTGCCCAGCTGAGCTCTGCCTGAATTCCTGACCCACAAAATCATGAGATATAATAATAATAATAAAGTGGTTGTTTTTAAAACACTAAGTTTTGGGGCACTCTGTATGCAGCAGTCATTAACTGGGAAACTGCTCAAAGGGCATTCCCATTTCTGTTGCCTCTGGGATTTTTCAATGTTTCATGGAAATCTTACTGATATTCCAGATGTGATACTGTAATTGTCCTACTCATGGGCTTAATAAAAGGCCAGCAACTGAGAGAATTATGGCGACCCATCATCACTTGTTACATCAAGTCTATAGATGAAGATGAATGTGAAATCAGAGCCACCAGGGTCCCCTGCTCCACTTCTGCATCTGGGCTGCTGATGGTTCTTCCCGGAATTCAAAGTGAGGCTTCGGGGGTCCATAGCCCACCTGCTCCACAAGTTAAACTGCCATGATGTTTTGTGTCATAACTAGATATTTATATGGTTCTCCCGGGAAAGGTAAGTTTTTCTGAAACACTGAGTTATCCATCTACTGGATACAGATAAGCCATGGATGCATCAGAATGAAGATGTTTTTTGAAGTGTTGGGCAATGTCTGATCTCAGCATCTGTGTTAATGCAGGATGGTAAATAGAAAGCACCAATGCTTCCTTTTATGGACCTGGAACTCTGCTTAGCTACAAAATGCCGGCTGTCCCCAAGGTCCAATTGCTTACTACTCAAGAACAGTCGATGTACAAAATAGAGCACACACTGGCAGAGAAGCCCTGGGCAACCGTGCAGATTCAAGAACAGTCGGGACTAATGCCTCTCAGATGAAAATGCTTCCCTTTGTTATAATGTCTAAGCATTTTCTCATAGAATCAAAATTTTGTTTTGTTTTAAAAAGATTCTTTTTTTAAAATCCCACCTAAGGATATGTTTTTTAATTGTTGAGAGAGAGAGAGAGAGAGAGAGAGAGAGAGAAGAGAAGAGAAGAGAAACATTGATCGGTTACCTTTTACCTTTTGGGACCTACAACCTGGTTGTGTGCCTTCACCAGGAATCAAAGCTGGGACCCTTCAGTGCATGAGATGATGATCCAACCAATTGCACCACACCAGCCAAGGCTAGAATTAAAAATTTTAAACATTTGTTTTGTTTGTTCACTTGTCTTGGTGTTTACAACAACCTGAACTGTTTATTTACAGTCTGAAAAAACAATATCAAATGCTAATATTTAAATGAAAGCCCCTAATAGCTACTTACTGAACTATTTACTATGGATAAAAAAATCCATCATGGCTTCCCCAGTGCCAGCTTGTTTTGCCTGAAGTCTTTCCCTTCACTATTCTCCAACCACTGTGCCTTTACTAAGGACTTATTATATGCCAGCCTCTGTGCCAAGTTCTGTAGAGGCATTATCTGGTTTAATATTCATAACAGCCCTAGGAAAGAGATAATATTACTGCTATTTTATAAATAAGTTAACACCAATAAATTATGTAACTTGGCTAAGGTGACATAAATACTGAGTATTGAAGCCAGATATTTGACTTTATATATACTGACTCAACTCCTAAATGTGTATATAAGTGAGATTAGGTACCTCCTTTAAAAAAATTTGGTATTAAAGTTGTGCTGGCTGTGTAAAAGGAACCAGGAGCTTCAATATTTTTTACTGTGGCTAGAATCATTTAAATGACATATAACTAGCTATTCTTTAAAGGTTAGATAGATTTCAGCCCTGAAACGAATAGGTAACATTTTTAGTAAAATATCTTTTTGACCTTTCCATTGTCTTCTGTGGTAATTAATTGGTCTGCTCAAAGTTTTTCATGTCTCCTTCTTGGATTAATTTTGGTCATTTATATTTTACTGAAAATGATTCATTTCTTCCAGATTTGCAAAGTTGTATCCATAGAGTTGCATGTAATTCCCTATTATAATATTTTTAAAACTCTCCTACATTGTAGTTTGTCTCTTTTCTCATCCCTATTTTTTAAAATATTTTTACTTCCTTATTTCCTTAAGCAAGTCAGCAATAGGTTATACATTTTATTGGTTCCTTTGAAATACTAGCACTTAGATTTATTTATTGTTCTACTAAATTTTATTTCTCAATAGGTTAGGTTCAGTTTTTTATTTTTGTAAATTCTCTCTTCCTAAATTGCAAAATAAGGTTTTCTTATTCTTTTTCTAATTTACTAGATAGAAAGCAAATTTCTCCGTTTCATTTTTCTTACTAAAATAATAAAGGCATTAGGACCATGTATTATTATTATTATATTTAAGTTCATGTACGAAATACTCTTTTTCATACTTTCCATAGAACTTGGAATATTATCATTACCCCCCTCCGCACATGCCCTCACACACCTCCTCCCTCAAAGTCTGTGTCCATTGGTTATGCTTATATGCATGCATACAAGTCCTTTGGTTCTTAATTTCCAAGTAGTTAATATTTTTTACTTTTGGTCAACATTTTATCATATACTCATACAGAAAATGGAATCTAGCATTTTCTAACTAAAGAATCTAACTGAAAGGGCGAAGGCTACGCCCTCCATCTTGCCGGTATCCTCCATGTTGGGGTAGGAGCCACGTGCTCAGACGCCTTTCTTCTCGGAAGCCCAGGCTTCTGCTGGCCACGCCCGGGATTTTAAACTAACCAATGACAATCAAGGGACGTGCGCGCCATAGAGATGACCACATCCTGTGTAACAAGACCTGACTTGCGCCTGGCCAATCGGCAGGGCCCACAGTCAGTCCACTCCCCTCACTCCACCCCCCTATTAAAACCCTGAGTTTCCCACGCCACCTCACTCTGCTTCCTGTCGCTGCCCCTGAGTTTCTCACGCCATCTCACTCTGCTCCCGGTCACTGCGTTGGCCTGGAGCGGGAGTCGGGCTGGCTAGCTCAATAAAAGGACCTTCTGCTTTTGCATCGAACTGGCTCCTAGTTGTGGACTTTGGGGATCTTGAGATCTGGGCATAACACTAACTAAAGAATAAAAGAACATGAATAATTAGGAATTATTCAAGGAGTGCAAAGTTGGTTGTACATTAGGATGTCGATCAAAGTAATTCATTAGGACAACAAGGGGTAAATGGCATTTACTAAGTTCAACAATCCTTCTTCTAATACTCCAGGTAGGGGATGAGACTTCCAGAAGGGTCGAGTGAGGAGCTCAGCACATGTTATCCCCCCCAAAAGCAATAAAACTAGACAAAATTGTAAAAAAAAATCATTTCAAACTCTAGGAATTAACCAAAGCAAACAAGTTAAAAAGTATTATGTACTCCTGTTACCTTCCTTGTTGTAAAGTCTCTTTTGTCTAATATTATTGTAGTCACTTAAACATTCTTTAGGTCAGTGTTTTTATTTTTTTCACTTTTAACCTGCTAGTATCTTCATATGTAAGGCAGATTTCTTATAGAAACATTATATATTATTTACATGTAATGCAATTATTAATGTGGTTAGGTTTACATACTCTGTTGCTATTTATTTTCTATTTGTCCCACCTATTCTTTGCTTTTTTCCCCTGATTTCTCCTGCTTTAAAAAAATGGTTTTTTTGTATTTTATTTTCTCCATTATTGACTTGTTAGATACATCTCTTTCTTTTGTATCTTTATCTTATCACAGTCTACCTTCAAATAAATGTACAATACTTGCCATATATTTTAAGAGCCTTACAACAGTGTACTCCATCTTCTCCCCTCAAACAAACATTGTTGTGATTACTTTAGTTCTATATATGTTATAAACCTCACAATACATGTGAGTAGGGAAAAGCCCAGTTCTCCACCTGTTTTCTCTTTACTCTCACACTACGACCACACTCAGACTTCTGACACCAGCTGTGTGGAGATTTTCCCCAGAAAGTAATTCTATGACACCAGCTGGGTGTCCTACAATTTAACTCAACTCTAACACTATCTACCTGGAGATGGCATCAGATCACAAAGGTTAGGGGCTCAGTCCTAAAAAACCGCCCCTCCCCACTTCAGATACCAATCACAAGTTGAGGTTGTCACCTGGCTTCTAACAGATTGGCTATAACTCACAGGTGCAGAGCAGATCGCAGAACTCAGGACAACAGTTTGCTTATTTACCACCTTAGGACACAAATGAACATTCAGATGGAGAAGATGCATAGGGCCAGGTGTGTGGGAAGGGGTGCGGAGCCTCCATGCCCTCCCCAGGTGTGCCACTCTCCCAGCACCTGCACATGTTCACCAACCTGGGAACTTTCCAAACCTCATGATTTTGAGATTTTCGTGGAGGCTTCATCACATAGGCATGATCGATGGATTATTAATTCAGTTTCCAACTCCATCTCTGAAGAATGGGGGAGAAGAGTGGAGGCTGAAAATTTGAAGCTTCTATTCTTGACTTGGTCTTTTTTTGTGACCAGCCCCTATCCAGGGGCCCACAAAAAGTCACCTCATTTAGAACAAAAGACACTGATATCACCCTGGAAATTCCAAGGGATTTAAAAACTCTATGTCAGGAACTGGGGTCAAAGACCAAATTCTAGAACAAAAGATGCTCCTCGTACTCTTATCATTTAGGAAATTACAATGGTTTTAGGAGCTCTGTGCCAGGAACCAGGGCAGAGACCAACATATATTTTTTTCTATTATCTCAGAGCTTATTACTTTTCTTTAAACAGTCAATTACCATTTAAAGATATTTTAAAAGTGAAAAAAAGTATCTTATATTTAACCACATATTTACCATTTCCAGTGCTCTTTATTTCTTTGTGTTGATCCACATTTCTTCTAGTATCAGATCCTTCTGCCTGAAGAACTTCTTTTAACACTATTTGTAACATAGACCTTTCAGGTTTTAGTCCCCTTTTTAATAAGTCTATATTTAACTTTCATTTTTGGAATAGCTTTTTATCCTTTATCTAGATTGATGAGGTTTTCTTTCAGTACTTCATTATCTTCTGGCTCTGACAAGAAGTCTGCTCTCTCCCTTATTTCTCTTCTTCTCTCTATATTATGTTTTCCCCTATCCTTGTCTGCTTTTAAGATTTTTACTTATCACTATTTTCAATAATTTGATCATGATGTGTCTTGGCAGGATTTTCTCTGTATTTCATTTGTGGTTCATTGAGTTTATATTTGCAAGTTTAGAGTATTCATCAAATTTAGACATTTTTCAGCCATTATTTCTTCAAATATTTTTATCTTTTTCCCCCTTCTAGGGTTCTAATTATACATATGTCAAATGGCTTGCTATTCTCTCACAAGGTTTCTCCTGTTCTGTGTTTCATTTTAGATAAATTTCTAAGATCGTGGATACTTCCTCTGTGGGGTCTAAGATGCTGTGAACCCCAGTTAGTATAATTTTCATTTCAGGTATTGCAATGGGAAAAATAAAGTAGGGAGGGAGATCAACCCCAGGTAGTTATTTTAAATATGGCCACCAGGGCAAACCTTACTGATGGGTAACATTTAAGCAAAGACCTGAAGAAGGTGACGTCAGGAAATTCATGTCTTCATCATCTTTCAAAGTGTTTTCTATTATACTTTTAGCACTTTCTCTTTTCTCTTTAATCTGTTCTTTTCATCTAATATGGCAAGGATAGCTTTCCATTGTCTTCTGTGTGTTCCCTTTTGTCTCACAGTCTTCTTAATTGTGTCCTTTCCCTTACTATTGGTTTCTTTTTCTGCTTCTCTTTTGGCTTCTGTATCAGTAATGGTTTTATTTTTCTCTTTATTCTTTCCAAAGCTTTGACTGCTCACTCTTTATCTCCTTTCACCTTGTATATGAACACTTTTATTTCCGCTTATATTCTTATTTCTGGAGATCACATCTTTAATTTAGTTGATATCTGCTTATATTATTTCTGGAGATCACATCTTTAATTTAGTTGATATCTAGAGGAAACATTCTGTGGCATGTCTTCCTCTGGGGAATTTTTTATCTGATTTTTGCTTACCATGTGTTGTTTTCTTTGTGGCTGCTTTGTGATTATTACTCAATTTTGACTGGGACCAATTCTTTGCGGACCAATTACTTACAAAAATTGTCTGGGAAGGGTTCATGAACTGAATACTGACAGAAGATGGCTTGGGCTTAGGACTTTATTTCCTACCACATACATGCATTTCTACATTGCATGTTCTCAAATGCTAATGTTCTAGAGCCACCTTTGGGGTAAGCTGAAAGCTCATTAGTCCCTTGTATGCCATGTTTTGTTGTTGTTTTTTTAAAGTGGTGATTTAGTGGTTATTGTTCCTGATTATTTTCTTTGTCTATTATCAGCAGTTTCTGAACTGATTGTCACTTACTTCTTCTTCTTATAGAAATGGCAGGACCACACAGGTTATCATTCAGCCCCTCATCTCCCATCTGCCTGTGATGTTAATCTAGGTTTGGGATACTCACACAACCCACCTCCCCCCTGCCAGAGCTACTGCTATAGAAAGTGAATAATGGTTTGGCCCTCAGCACGGCCAACTACTTTGAAGAAATCCATGTGCTCCTCCAGCTCTGTGTGGTTGTCAGCCCCTTCTTGCTGTGCCCCCCATGTGTGGTCCTCATGTTACTGTGTTTGACAGCTATTCTGCGTAGACTATTGTTCCCTGGCACTTCTTCCTTAGTTCATGTTCTTCTCTGGGGTTTGTTGTTATTGTTTTGTTGTTGTTATTGGTTTCACATAGAAGAGTGGATTAGAAGAGTCTTCATTCTAATCTTTAATTGGAAGTTTCTATTATTTATTTTAATTCGATTCTACTCAATAAGTACTTATTGAATGCTTACAAAGAATAAGGTATTGTGCTTAGCATTGGGAAGAGTAAAAGATGGAGGTAGAAAACCACAGAAAGTGCTTAAAGAACACAAGTAACCCCATTCTATTGGAGCACAAGGAGAAGGAAAGAAACCCACACCCGTCAATGTAGTGGCAGTAGGAGTGTTGTTTCAGCAGAAAAGTCTTTGCAGTTTTGCCTTAAGTGAAATAGTCCTATTTATGTGCTGGGAGCCCTCAGGACTATCCTAATAATAGCAATGCTTGGAAGTATTAATAAATGATGCTGAACCATCCAAATAATTATGGTAACTAATATTCAGCATATTCTTTAGGAGGTACTTTCGTCCAGAACCATATGGGTCACTTAGTAAAATAGAATTTTATTTAAGAAAAAAAAAGACCTAATGTAGGATAAGCAGTTCTCTGGAGTGGCTCTTTGCCTGGGAGTGTGGCTGTTTCCTACAAACTTAAAGTAATTGTTCTGTGGTAATTAAACATAAGTAATAAATAAATAAATACATAAATAAATAAAGTCTCTTCAGGAGGCCAAGTAAAGAACGAAAATAAAGAAATCAAGGGCTGGGTGACCCTGATGTTGCTTCAGACGAAGAAGTGTATTTAAATATAACTAAGTAAGAACAGGAGATGGTGGCCACTTTATTCTCCTGAAGTCTGGGGATATTGTAACCAAAAGTCAAGCCACAAGATTTCATTGGTTAAACTGCTTCTCCTTCTGCCCCAAACCCTGACAAAAAGTCTCCACCTCAAAGAAACAGTAATGACTCTCAAAGTCCTGACAAAAAGTCTCCACCTCAAAGAAACAGTAGTGACTCTCAAAGTATTTGCTCATTTATTTGACCCTGACCGTTCTGCCCATCCCCTTTTCTCTGACTCCTCTGTATTCTCTGAAGAACCAAATTTTGCTAAAGCTCTGGGTTCTGAGAAGAAGCCAATGGAGCCCTGGCCTGCTGACAGTAAACTAGAGATGATCAGGTGAACAGTGCGCTTCTTTTCTCTTTCTGAGTCGTGTGGGGTGCCCCACAGATGGACTCGCTGTGGGAGCCCTTGAACTGGGGAGGGTCCTGGGATGGAAAAGCGTAAGCATTTCTGGGCTGAGATCAAACCTTGGCTCTCGAAAACGTTAGTAAATGCTCATGTCACATTAGTGATGATGGTTCGGGACTGGAAATGACTACATATGGGCAGGTTCTAGAAAATACATGTCAGTACATTAGCCATAATAATCCGGTGGATTTTCTTGGGAGAGACAGAGGAAAGAGAATTATAGAGCTAAGACCTCTGGGGCAATGATTCGCTGAAATGTGGTCCCCAGACCAACAGCATCAGCGTCACCTGGGAACCTGCTGAAATGCTAATTCTCAGGCCTTTCCCGGGCCTGCCAACTCAGAAATTTTGTGGGTGGGAGCCCACAATCTGTTTTAAAAAGCCCTCCAGGTGATTCTGAACTATGTTAAAATTTGAGAAGCAGTGCACTAAGGGGAAGAAAAATAACTGTAGGTATAGGTCAGTACTTCTCATACTTTATCTTGCATCAGAATCTCCTGGTGAGTTTATTAAAACAAAGATCACTAGACCCTACTCTGAGAGTTCCAGACTCAGTAGGGCTGGGTAGAGGGGAAGGCAGTTTGCTTTCTAATAAATTCCTACGTGTTCTCCCCTGGGCCAGGGACCAAGGTTTGTGGGAAACAGGAGCAATGTGGCTGATGTTCTCTCAGCCCAGCCCTGCCGGGAGCCAGCGTCAGGACAGGAGGGCCTAAAACTGAAATGCAGTTGAGCTGTAACATTTAATGACTAATGAGGAAACAATTTGTAAAACTCAAATTGAGGGACATTCTACCAAATCTACTGGCCCATACATTCAAATATGTTAGATTAAGGGATTGTAGCAATAGTTTCCTGTATTTGAACACAAGTGAACCTGACTTTGTGGATTGCGATTGTACCTGCTACACTCAAACCCGTATCCTCATGCCCCATGCTTTCTCCAGAACAGTGATGACCACAACAATGAAGCTCTTAATCAGCACAAAGAACTTACCAAGAATAGGAATTGCTTGCTCTTTTGACTTGGAATTATTTTAGAACTTTCCAGAGTCCATGGTGGTTTTCTTCTCTGAGTGGTTCCTAGGCTGTTCTCAGGGTGGGCTGTGCTGGACTTGTCCAGGGCAGGTGTGGACTATCACACGGTCTTATTTCAGTCTTTCCGGGGAGATAGGAGCCGCAGAGTTGACTGCTGACACCCGAGACAGGAAGAGCGGCTTCTTGCGATCTCTTTCGAAGTGACTGCTCTTTGATTTTTTCCTTGTGTTCTTCCTTGCTTCTGGATTTCTATAGTGCTTGCAATCCGACCCAAACATCCTAGCACTTGATTTTAATCCAGCCTAGTATTTTCCCCTGTTGTCTCTTGTACACACAATTCACCTCCCAACCCAGAGGCGGGAACTGTGACTCCATTACATTTACGTCCTGAGTAGCATCGCACTGTACTAGACCTGTAAGCACAGAAATACATTTGTCAGTTTATTCACAGAATGCAGCAGTGAGTGAATGAATGAATGAGTGGTAATACCCACTTCTCCTAATACGCCAATTAAAATTCCTCTTGGAAACATGTGTGAGATTTGAGAGAAGTTGGATAACAAATTATTTACTAAAAATGCAACACTTCTCCCTCTGCATATGGTAAGTTGTTATTTAGATCATTAGTGGTTGCCTGTATATTCCCTTCAACTCATTGTTAGAGAATTACTGCATGGCTCATTATTTAGGCCCAATAATGGTGCAATGATAAGCTTACTTATTGGTTTTCTCAAGTGAGCTGTTGGACTAAGCCAAGCAAGACTGTGAAATAAGCAAAATCTAGCTCTGCTATCCCTCCTTCTAATGGCTATTCATATCCTCCTATCCCCCATCACTACTCTCCCATCTTCTCTTTAACTAGCAATTAATTAGCTCATAAGAGCTAACATATTACCCCTCTAAAGAACTATTTATCTTTTAGTAAAAGAGTAATTAAGAGCTAACTTTAAGAGTCTAAAAAATGAATCTCTAATTGCAAATTTTCATGCATTGAAAAGTCAGTGGGAGAGAGATTTAGGGAAAAGGTTTCTTAAATCTCCCCTCCTAGGAAGAAGCCCCTTTTAACTACTCATTAAGCCAGTGCCAATAAGATTTATGAAAAAGATTCCATTTCTAAGTAAAGTTTAGAAACTTTATTTTATTTTACAGAGATATATTCATGCTTTGGAGAATAAATTAAACTGATAAAACTCACAAATCACTGTTGTATAAGTCAGAAAGTAATTTACTAACTTGTTTATGATTTCTCGTTACTATTATATTCATGTATTCTATTTAAGGCAGAGAAGTAAAAAACCTGGTAGAAGTGCCAACAATTTCTCCTACTGTGCTCAGAGCAGACATTGCTAATCAAGCACTGCACTCCTTTCCTTCTTCACACAGCTCCAGGCAACCATTGCTTTCACAAATTCTATCCATTGCCCAGCAAAGGGTAAAACCTTTGCTGCCAGTGCTGTTCTTCTTGATATCAAGGTACCTAGGAAGTAACTATTTATTAAAATGTTATTTGGCAAGAATGGAATCAGAACAAATGGCCACATCCCCAAAATACAATTGGGAAACAAAATAACACAAGTGAAAATAAATTAGAACTAAGGAATTTAAAAAAGGGGCAGGAAGTCAAGATGGCTGAGGTGCATGGCTCTATGTAGTTAATGTCATTAGAACTTAATTTAAATTAACTGGATTCAGAAGTTCATAAAAGAAAGGAGGTAGGAAGGCAGAGAAGGAAGAAAAGTTTGAGGATGGAATAACACATGAGGGGTGATTGAGTTGTTAGACAGGATCCTTATTTCTATGACAGATGCAGCAATGAGCTTCATACGGCTGTCCCGCCCTCGGTAAAAAGCCCCAGGCATCATTCAGTGAAGTCAGTTCTAGAGTGGGTCAAGATAACATCTTCTAATTTGATACCAGAAAAAGAACCTAGACTACGGAGATGTGTGGGTGGATAATCCCAAGGGGAATTTGATAGTTTTGCAAAATATTTTCTACATTTGGGATATTACTGCCAACCTACAATGTAGTATAACTTTCTAACACTATAATATCAAAAAGGTAGTATCAGTCTTGGGTAAGCCTTGATAAAATATTGCTCTTCCTCTCCCCAGAGACTTCTGTCACTGCATTCCCTCATAACATTGCTATGTCCTGTAATGAGGCATTGCTGAGTTAGTTATATTTGAGAAGACTTGCTTCTTGCAAAAGTATGAAGTATATTAAATTGACAATCTTTTTATGCTCCATAGTGTTGCACATACTGGTGCCCTTTCCTCAAACACTGAAATTGTAATTCCAGATGCTTCCCAACCCAGCACAGTTTCTGGTGCACCTTGGCACTCAATAATATGCATTGAATAAATGAATATCTAGGGCCCTCTATTATTTTTTCCTGCATGCTCCAGGTTTTGTAAGAATTTGTCTAATACACAATTTGCATTTGGATAATAATGAGTTTGCATTTTCAGATCAGTAAGATAGAAGGTTGGCCCTCTTAATTTTGATTTTTTGTGCTGTTGAATTCCTACTGAATTTCACTTACAGAGAATGAAAGAGACTTCCTGGTCTTGAAATGTTGCCTTCGATGGGGATGTTCTCTCAATGATACCTGCATGATTCTTACCACATTCCATAAACCAAACTAAACTCCAGAAGCTTATGAGGTAAATGTAGATAGTGAAAGGTGGTAATGAAAAAGCTAAAAGAAAATGTAGATGAATATTTCTCTTCCCCACATTTAAGAAAGGAATCTATACAAATAAAAGGGTAATATGATAATTAGACTGGGAGACCTTCCGGGAGACCTTCTGGACGTCCTTTATGACAAAGCCATGGTGGTGGGGCTGAGGCAGAGGCGGTTAGGGTGATCAGGCCAGGAGGGGAGGGCAGTTGGGTGTGAGCAGGCTGGCAAGGGGAGGTAGTTGGGGGCAAGAAGGCCAGCTGGGGTTGGGGGGGAGCAGTTGGGGGCGAGCAGGCAGGCAGGCAGGTGAGCAGTTAGGAGCCAGTGGTCCCGGATTGCGAATAGTCAACACTACTAGTAATAAAAGGAAATTAAAAGGAGATACTCTGATCTATATCTTTAGTACATATTTCAAAGGTAATAATACTTAATAGTGGCAAAGGTATAGACTTTCTGGAAAGCATTTTGGCAATAGGTGCCAAAATCCTTTAAAGTTCCCATGCAAACCACGGCAAGGCTGTTTGTATTACATTATTTTTATCACATTATTTCAAATGGCCAAAAACTGGAGGAAAAATAGAGGTCCAAATAGAATGATTAAGATAATTAAATCATGAAATGGGAAATAATTAATGAAATTATGAAATAATGAGAAAATTCATATGAAATAATATTAACTGACAAAAAAACCTGTGTATATAGCTGTAAATACAGTGTAATTCCAGTTACCTGAAACCTATATATCTATATATGCATAGAAAAAAATTTATAAGGAGACATACCAAAATATTAAATCTGTGTTATACTCATAGAAATGATTTTTTTCTTCTTTGTACTTTTTTTTATTTTCCAAAAATATTTACAATATTAATATATTATTTTCCCAAGTTTTGAAAAGTAGCATATGAAATAAAAATGGAATGCTTGATCTAAATGGAAGATTCTAGATTCGAATGTTTCCATATAAACAGTCAGTTTTTTTTAGAACAGTAATCTCCATTACATTCTCTGGGCTCAAGCCCTTAAGTTATTCTCAACTTACCTCCCCAGGGGCAGGTAAGCAACGGATGATACAATTTCTCTAAGATGATACCTAAATTACTAAAAGCCAGGTTAAGCCTGATGGGTTAAGTATGTGGTTTGCAGTAAAAAACAAACAAACAGACTGTCACACACACGCACGCACACACACGCACCGTCAAAGGGATGGCCATCAGACTTCAGAAGCAAGCTTTCTGGACAGGATTCCTGGAAAGGTTGTTTTCTTCTGACTTAACCTCCGTATTTACTGAATTGTTCTGAAATAATCTGTCCACATGCCTTTCTCTCCTCGAGTCCAGGCTATGAATTCCTTGTGCACAAGTCTCCGTTTTACTTACTATCTCTGTAGCTCTGAACACAGTACTAGTCAATCAGGAAAGTGTTTCTTGCCGAATGCTTTCATCTGTACCTTGACCATTAAGAAGCAAATTCAAAGGAGAAGTGAAAATATCAGTCTCTTGAAAATAAGATCAGGGAATGATGGTGAATCCTGCCTGCTCCCTCATCTCAGCATGCCAAGTCATATATACATAAAATTGGTGGTTTGAGATTGCTCTGGCCAAAAGTGGCCGCATGAAACCCAACCCTTGTATCATTATCACATGTTCACTTACGACTCTCCCCGGCCATCAACAGACTAATCATTACCTTAAATAAGCCCTTCTTTTAATAACTCTGCTTAGAAATGACTACATAAAACCATGAAATAGAATAGTTTGTCGTTTCACTGAAATCGGACCCACATTTACTGTCATAAACTGCTGTGGTCACTGGCTGTTCCTAGTCAGGGCCTTCTCTCTATTAGCTGCCTAGATGTCTCCTTTGTACAGCCAGAGACCGAGGTGCAGTGAGCTCTGCAGTCTGCAGAGCCCTGGGAGATTCTGCAAGCTGGTAAAATTCTTCCATTTGGGACTTGCCTATACAGTATCCGAAAGAGTTACCTTCCAAGACCCTCAGTCGATGCTTGAAACCGCAGCTAGTACCAGATCTTACATATGCTATGTTTTTTCCTATACATACATACCTATGATAAAGTTTTAATTTATAAATTAGGCACACTAAGACATTAATAATAACTAATAAAATAGAGCAATTATAACAATATACTAGTACTCTAATAAAAGTTGTAAGAATGTGATCTCTCTCTCTCTCAAAAGATGTTATTGTTCTGTGTGTACCTCATGGATATGTTTGGTAAAGGGATAATTCACATCCTGGTAGGATGGAGCAGGATAGCAAGGAATTTCATCACACTTCTCAGAATGGTGTGAAATTTAAAACGTATGACTTGTTAATTTCTGGAATTTTCCATTTAATATTTTTGGACTGCGGTTGACCATGGGTAACTGAAACCTCAGAGCAAAACCACAAGTAATTGGGACTACTGTATTGGAGTATCAATGCTGTGTGCTCTGATAGGAAACCTCGAGTGTTATCCTCCCGGAAACTGGTATCCTTAAAGGGCCCTGCTCTGTGAAACCCTGCCCCACCAATCTGTTCTTTAAGCCCTCGCCAGATTTTATATGGGTTTCATCCCATGTCTGTTTCTCTCCTTAGACAGTAAGTTCCGTGAGGGCGGGGATACTATTTCATGTATCTTTGTAGCACAGTGCCTGAAACAACCAGTTAATAACAAATTGAATTAAACCGCTGGGGGTGGGGAGGGGGAATGTTTTTAGTGCTTATTTTACTTTTAGACTCTTCTCTGGGAGTTCCAGCCTTTTCTAAACATAATTCTAAGCATTTTCCAGGACATAGAAATGGTTGGTAGAAATCTTTGAATTGTAGTTCTATCACTTACTAGCTTTCTATACTGGTAAGTTAATGTCTTTTGAGCCTCAATTTCCTGATCTGTAAAATGGGTATGATGATAATAGTAGCATTGTCGTCAGGATGAACACACTGGTGTCATTCTCCTGGCACACAGCTGTGATTAGAGGTTCCCCCAGGCCTTCCAGAACAGTTTTTCCCATCAGAGTTTTTCTCTTGTACTTTGGGCTTCTTCCTTTTATCAGTCAGACTTCATCATCCTCTAGAGCAGGAGTCAGCAAACCTTGTTTGTAAAAGGCCAGCTATTGACTATTTTAAAGCTTTGCAGACCACTCAGTCTCTGCTCCATATTCTTCTTGGGTATTTTTGTTGTTGTTGTTGTTATTGTTGTTTTAACATCCCTTTAAAATCTAAATCCATTCTTAGCTCATGCTATTGACTATTTTAAAGCTTTGCAGACCACTCAGTCTCTGCTCCATATTCTTCTTGGGTATTTTTGTTGTTGTTGTTGTTATTGTTGTTTCTTTTGTCTCTATAACATCCCTTTAAAATCTAAAACCATTCTTAGCTCATAGGCTATACAAAAACAGGCCTTTAGCAAGATAAGCTATATGGACCCATAACATATATGGGTTTATGGGTTTGCTGAATCCTGATCTAGAGTGGGGGTTGGCCAACAGCAACAACATCACCTGGAAACTCATTAACATAAATTAGTGAGCCTTTCCCAGGACCTACTGGATCAGAAACTTGAACGTGGGCACAACGAAGATGTTTAATAACCTCTCCAGGCGATTTTGATGCAGGTGTTCAACCTTGGCTGCACATTAGAATCCTGGAGAGCTTTAAACCTGTCTGTACCCACGCTTCCCTCCCTAGCAGATCAGAAGCTGTGGGGTGGCCCAGGGCACAGGTGCTGAGAGGCTGCAGGTGACTCAGTGTGCAGCCTCCTTTGGGTTCCCCCGATATAAACTCAGGGGACAGCTCTAGTGCTAATAACATTGCCAAGGCACCCAATATTGGGAGTCCCTTCTTGTTTTGATCGTTTCTTGAAGAAATCTCACTGTAATCAATTAATCAAATGATGGCTTTTCAGCACTACATAAAAAGCACTATGTTAGGTACACTGGGGATATTTTAAAAAGTATATTAAGATGGTCTTTTCTACCTTTGAGTAAAATGCATATGAAAAACAAACTTCTCCATTACAATGAAGCTTCTAATTTCAGTTTTACGAGGAAGGACCAACTCAAGAAATACCACCCATTTATCCTTTTTCACTGAGTTTAAACCTGGTCACGGGTCACTATTCCCTGACTCCTCTCACCATTACTACAATGGATTGGGTCCATTAGTCCAGTTTTCCAAGTGGAGTAAGCTATAGGGCGTTTCATTCTTGTTTCAAAAACACATTTTCCTGTAAATATTATGTGGAAAAGCCTTTGGATGGGTTTATGTTTGTAAGGTAATTCTAGAGTGCCACATTTGACAAATGACATCAGCCAGCCTGCCCTCGCCATAAACCATTTTAGAACTCTTATGCATAATTTGGCTTCAGGTCAAGGTGGTGTAATATGAACCAGCAGAATATACAGCACAGCGTGTCCTTAGAAGCTATCCTAAAGATCAGCAGAACTCATTCCTGTAAGATAAGCTCATCTGTGGAGCAAGGTCAAGTCCAGTGATCATCAGAGAAGGTTCCCTTCATGGAACTGCTCCTTGCCTGCTTTGTGATGCTGCTGTGGGGGTCCCTCTGGTTGCCTCCCTTACATCCATTCCCTCCTACCAAGGACGGGCCTGTCTCTGTACCACAGATATTCCCATTTTGTTCAGGAATCAGCCATGTTCTTCGTGGGGGAAGGGCGTATTTGACTCCTCACTAGCCCGAAGGGTTCAATCTTGATGGTTCATGGTAATTCCATTTCCTTTGTCAGTGATTGGTTTAGGAATAAGCTTGTGACTGATAATTCTGGCCTATGAGACTGAGAGGAAGCCTGCAAAAGAAGCTTCTGAAAAGTTCTCTGTGGTGTTTAAAATACATGCAAAGAAGGATGTTTCTTCTGAAGCCATTGGATATAGTGTTTCTTAAAAAAATATGTTTTTATTGATTGAGAGAGAGAGAGAGAGAGAGAGAGAAAAGATCAATCAACACCCTGAACCGGCAACCTGGGTATGTGGAGAGAGAGAGGAGGAGAGGAGAGGAGAGGAGGAGATTAACACCCTGAATTAGCAACCTGGGTATATGCCCTGACTGGTGTTGAACCTGCGACCTTTCAGTGCATAGGATGATGCTCAACCAACTGAGCCACACTGGCCGGGGCTGGATGTAGTTTTGTGAGGATATGATGTTTAGAGCTTCTATAGCCATCATGCAACCGTGAGGGAATGTGTCTGGAGCCAATAGCCAACACAATGAGAATGAAATAATAGAAAGGTGAAAAAAATGTGCGTTCCCCAATGAACTTGTTGAGCTACTGAATTAAAGACCCAGAAACCATCTGATCTCCAGATTTCATGTGAGTAATAAATGTCATTATCTAGGCCATTTTTTTAGTGTACTATCTGTTTTTACAGCCAAATGCATCATAACTAATACAGATGCAAAAGAAACTTGTATTATACTTAGTGTCTGCTTACTCCAAAAACTTGCATATTTGTACTGAGGGTTTTTCTGTTGGGAGAAAGATTTTTTTTTTACTTATTTCTTTCTTAGTTTTCTCTCTTACTGACATAGCTTGCCTCCAACGCAAGGCTATGTTTCCCTGAGAACTTTATATCTACCACTCTTCTTCTTGAAGGCCTGAGTGAACCTTTAACTTTGATATTACATCAGCCTAATACAGAATGGTAGTCCCATCCACACCAGACACAAATACGACAAAGGATGGGCCTTACTATGCAACTGCTGGCATTTTAGTCTATGTTGTTGTTAACATTGACATTGGCATCACCATAGCCAGCAGTCTGACAGCCTCAAAACCTTCTCAGTGCTTGACACAATTCTGCCATTCAATAAGTGTTAGTTGGATGAATGCATAAATAAACTGTAATTATTTGCAAACTGCCTATCAAGGAGAATTTAGAGGCTTGAAGATATTTGAGATAGAACCCTAAGTACTAAGTAGCCCTTTTCTGCCACATGTAGCTTAAACTAGAGAGTGGAAGTCCTGTAGTTTCTTTTTTAAAAATGAAGTGTCCCCCAACTCCATCTCTCTTGCTCTGATTCTTACACTTATGCTATCTGGGAATTTCAGAACGTAAGTAATCTGATTTTACAAATATTTTGAAATCAGATGTTTTCATTTCTGCAAGAAGATCTTCTTTTCCAAAGAATTTCATTATTACTCATTAAGAGTTTCTGACATATCAGGGTATGGTGCATGTATACATTTTGAGAGGGCTATGTGGTCATGTAGTTTCTATGTAACTAGTTTATTTGATAACTTCAAAGGTAAGGGACTGTATATAACATGGCTTTGAAAAAAGTGCCTTTGTTGGAAATATTTCATCCAGCAGACTGACTTTGGTAGCGGGAGTAAAGAAATTATTAGCTTTGTTCAACCTACTGTGTACTTTCCCGCAGCAAAGGGCAGATTTGTGACCTTCAGGGTGAGCCTGGCAAGGAAGGAAATGTCCTCCTATTTTCTTGTGGAAACTTCATCATTTGTCTCAGAGAAGGGACTTACTTTCATGCTAAGATTCAGTGTCTCAATGACCAGACCTACTCACTGAGAGAGGTTGAACGACCTCAACAGAGAGAAAGGCTGAGACCAGGCTTCTTCAAAGCTGATACTCTTTCAGAAGTCAATTCCTAGTGGATAGGACTTCTCCAATAGTCCCATGAGGGAGGAAAGTGTGTCTGTTAAATGTCCTTCCCTTAGTCCCTTGTTATATATGTAAGGATACAAAAATTATTGGCTGGATTCCACCGATTAGTATTAATCCCCCCACAGCAGAGTTGCTTGAATCTCCACCTAACACTAAATGTTTCTCTCTTTTTTTAAATATATTTTTATTGAGTTCAGAGAGAGGAAGGGGGAGAGAGAGAGAGAGAGAGAGAGAGAGAGAGAGAAACATCAATGATGACAGACAATCATTGATAGGCTGCCTCCTGCATGCCCACACTAGGGATCAAGCTTGCAACCCGGGCATGTGCCCTGGCCGGGAATCGAACTGTGACTTCCTGGTTCAAAGGTCAACGCTCAACCGCTGAGCCACGCCAGTCGGGCCACTTAATGTTTCTTTATGAAATAGTGACTTGCTTATAAGTCTGTCTCTTCCATTAAATGTTAAGTGCCTTGCAACCTGATCCATGTGTCAAGTCATCTTTGAACCCAGTGCCTGAAATACTTATAGTAATAGCAGGCACTCAGTAAATATTTTGAAATGGAAGTAAATCATTACATAATAGTGAAAAGGCCCAGACTCAATACGTTGACAAGTATTTACTAAGCCTGGGAGAAATAAGACAGAGACTGTAAATAAAGGTATTTTGCTTATATAATGAGAAGAGACTGTGGTTTAGAATTAGACCATGTTTCGAATCCCAGCTTTGCAACTCACTGGTTATTCTACTTTGAGCTCAATACTTAACCTCACTGGGCCTCATTTCATAGTCTGTAAATGGGGATAACAATAAATTTCTAAATGAGTTGTAATGTGTTGAATTGTGCTCCCCATTCATATGTTTAAGTCCCAACCCCCAACCAGTACCTTAGAATGTGACCTCTCGCTCTTTGCTCAATAAGCATCATGGAAGAGTCATATCCTGGAATTAGAAAACCCTGGGTTTAAATCTTGAATCTTCTGTTGATTAACTTGATGGCCTCTTCTGCTTATGACCTAAGAGGGGATGACAGTAGGTCGGCCCCAGGGTGAAGGGTCCTCACCCTTCTCACAGAAGTTTGGCACTGCATTTTGTCTGTCTTCAGAGGCATCCCATCCAGTAGAAATGGCAGCGCCTCTCACTTGGAGCCCAGATCTATAGAATCAGTGTTGAATCCCTCACCCACAGGATTGTGGTGGTCAACCCAGATGGCCACCACAGGATTGCTCTCCAGGTGCTTGTGGTACTGGTTAATAGAACTAGCACATATTCTGTATCAAAGCCCACAATCACTATCACCTACAACGTGCTCTTTCCTCAACCCCCACTTGAGGTGACACCATGGAGGTCCACAGCTTATTGGCCACTCTGAACCTCAGGTAAACTCCAGGGGTGTGGGTTACAGCTGTGGTGCCATAACAGCGCATCTCTAGGTGATTTCCTGCCAATAAAAGGTCACAGCTCTTTTGTAGCTGAGAGTGGGGAGAACTTTGGCACTGTCATATTTAAATGAAATATTTTCTGCCACATGGGTTCAATTTCTGATGGTGATGTGAAGCATTGAAAGGGGTTGCACCCCATCTAGCTATGTTTCTACATGGGAAGGTTAAAGAGGGATCTATCTGTAGGAACACATACACACAGAGATTAAGAAACCATAGTCTGAAACCACAGGAAAAACATAAAGCTGCTATTTCAAATTAGTGAATGTGTTATAAATGTTTAGGCCAGGGGTGGGCAACCTTTTTGTGAGTGCGTGCCAAAACCAGCAAAATCTCTGACTCAAAATTCTTCTGCGTGCCAACCCTAATTTTTTGAGAACATGTTACACCTACTTGATATCTCTTAAGGTGTACATATGTGAATAAGGTGTACGTATGTGAAGAACCTTGAAGAAATAATAAAATTCATCATCAGTATATGATGATGAAAAATACATTTTATTTTTTAATGTATACATGTACACTCATAGTCGGACAGAAAACTTTATGACTTCGTTTAATATTATCAGTGGGACTTTTGCTGCTGCATCACTGATGACAGAGATTTTACATCAGGTTTATATTTCTTTCATGACCGAGATATGCACGAGTTACTACTTTCATCTGTCAGGCTACTCCTATTATGAGACTTAACAAAATTCATCACTGAGAACAAAGGTTCACAAGCATATGTGAATGAAACCAAAACACTGTTCGGATCTAGGAAGGAAGGGAGAGTTAAAGGCAGATGCATAGAAATTGCTCTTCCCCTCTCTCGTCAATCCATGTCTATGGTCTTTAAGATAACTTGTTATGTAAAATTATTTATTTATCTAAGATGCACCTACACTGAATTTATCTGAAAAATAAAAAAGTTGATATTAAGAAAAAAATTGTAAATGGAAGATTATAAGAGAGGGTTTCGCGTGCCAGCAAAAGTTACTGGCGTGCCATGATTAGCACACGTGCCAGGGGTTGCCCACCCCTGGTTTAGGCTAATGGTTGCCTTACATTGATACTGGGTATTTGTTGATAAAGCTGTCCTTTAGCAACAAAGTTATTTAGGACCAAGAACTGATTCAATTGAACAAGTGAGGAAGCATGGAAACGCTATCGTGTTTCAAGCCTTCTAGCCACCTTTGCTCTGTGATCTCCTACCTCGGTAATAGTTTTCTGGCGAGGAGAACCCACAGCAGGCTTCTGAGTAGCCAGCAGGTATCATGGACCCACAGTGCTAATCCTCTTCTGGACCCTCACCAGTGATAGAGACCGTGGAGGAGGTGGACAGTGTACTAAGGCTGCCTACCACTCAGTAGATTCCTGAAGATAAAAGTGTTCTTTTCTACGCCCAGTGGTCACCATCCGTATGGTGTAGTCTAAGTACCAAGTCTAAGAGCTAGTGCCAGCCCTGTCACTTATTAGCTAGGTAACCTTGGCTTTGTCCTGATAACTTAACCTTATTGTTTTGCATTTAGAGATTTTGCATCTAGAAGATGGAGCTGTTTATAATAACAACACCTCCCTAGCATTTTATGGGGGGGGAGGGGGGACCAAATCAGTTAAAGCATGAGGGGGAGTTTAGAAAACTTTCTGATTATATGCCAACACCCCAAAACTATTTGAACCATTTATTTTGGAATTCCCCCATTCATTCCTTTCTCCCTTTTAGCATCTGATCTGAAACCAGCAAGTTGTTTATATCTCCACAAGAGCAGTATTTTTATTAGCCCTTAAAAATGTTAGTTCTCAATAATTGTATCTGAAATCAGTCCATAACATCAGAACCAGCAGAGCTTTTTTAATCTGAAGTATAATGAGAAGTAATGACTTACCGGTTGTTTTAGGGGTTCTTCAATATGGTGAAGGGAGCTGCAACTTGACTGCTTCCATTTATCTCCTCAGAATTGCTTCACTTTCTGAAAGGCTGTCGGAAAAGGAAAGGCTGTGTTCAAAGAGGTAAAGTTGAGATAGAGGTGAAAATATGGTAATGAAGATTTTCTTTCTCTCTCTCTCTCTCTCTCTCTCTCTACGGTAATGAAGATTTTGTTTGTTTCTTCTCTCTCTCTCTCTCTCTCTCTCTCTCACACACACACACACACACACACACACACACACACACACACACGAATTGCGCTCTTTTTCTTCTTTTAGCCACATCCTCTGTCAGTATCATTGTGGCTGAAATGTCTGGACGTCAATATTTGCTTTCCATCATTACTAAGAGGAGCCCACACAGCAATGTCATGGCAACTTGATTACTCCCTAACCTCTGAGGCTGCAGGAGACCCTGCTGTCTGGCTGAGCCTACAGGGAGCAGCAAAGCCTCCAGTTCTCACAGAGCTTACAGTCCATTAGAGAGACAAGACCAGCATGTGACATAGCAATACTATTAGCACATATAAGCTGGAAGCAGGACAATACTCCAAGCGGGTGTCAGTAAGCACCAGGTGACTTCATCTGTTCCACCCACAGTGGTGGAGCTGCTGTGTGACCTGGGGATGAGGGCTCCACACTAGAGAGCAAACTTCCAGTGACTGGGCAAGGCCATGACCCTGAGAAGGAGAGGGGAGACAGCCTGGGGGGCTTAGCTGACCCTACCTGGGGGTCTGGAGCCCCCCTCCCTCTCCTTCATCCTTCTCTCTTACCTGTGGCTGAGTCTCTTGGTTATGGGTTCTTAACATTCCATGCTTCAAATGACTATGTCCCCTGTTTTCATCTTCTGTCTGCCCAATTTTGGAAAGTGAGATAAAAGAAAAATCCATACCCTAAGGAGAGACCCAAGGAGGAAATAAATAGAAGTAAATAGAGCCATAATTATCAGGTCTAGAAAAGCAGGTTACTCAGAGTAATTCACACATCATGGAGAGACCAATTAGAACCATTAGCAAGTTGTTAGCACTGACTTTAATCTATCTGCTCTGATTTTGCCCCCATCATTCTGTAGGAGCTGTGTGGTGTCTTTAGGATTAACCAGTATAAAGAAAATACACAAACAACCCTCAACCCACAACTGTGTATTGGGTGCTTTACCTGTGTGTGCATTGTGGTACCCCCAAAGGACGAAGATTTGGACACACACACACACACACACACACACACACAAACACATCTAGTTTCAAGTCTTGATGGTGGAGCTAACATAAAAGATATGGCAGGTCCCCGACAGTGTAAGGCTGTGAAATTTCAGCAAGGGAGGAAGACTCCAAAAGTTCAGGAACTCCATGCTGGGTTGCTCGGATAGCAAATTTCAGAGTAGTATTTATTTTAGGATATTTATCTGTCTTTGAATAATCCTTCCAAAGCTACTTTTAACTTGATTATTTTAAAATATCAACCTGATTGGAACTTTTTAAAATAAATCACATAAAATGAATTCATGTGGGTTTATATGAGAAGTTATAAGAGGCATATAGCTTTTACTATTTTTATATGTACAGCTTTTACTATTCTTTTTTTCAATCAACTTGCATTTCCCCTTGGTTTCCTTTTTATAGTCAATGGTAAAGGGAACCCATATGTCTTAGTCAGCTTGGGCTACTATAACAAAATAGCGCAGACTGGGTGACTTAAACAACAGACGTTTATCTCTCATAGTTCTGGAGGCTGGAAGTTGTGATCAGGGTGCCAGCATGGTCAGGTTCTTAGTGAGAGCTCTTTTCCTGCCTTGGAGATGGTGTGTTGGGAGCGGGACAGGGAGTTGAGGGTAGGGGATTGTTGGGAGGTGGGGAGGCGTGGGGGTGGAGGAGGCAAGGGTGAAGGAGTGGTCAGGATTGGGGGTTGGGGAGAGCTCCCAACTCTCTTCTCATAAGGGCACTAATCTCATTGAGGACCCCACCCTTATGACTTCATCTCCCAAAGGCCCTACTTCCCAATATCATCCACTTTGGGACTTAGGGCTTCAACATATGAACTTGGCAGGATACCAACCTTCAATCCATAATACTCTACTTACAAATAAGAACAAAAGATTCACACTTATGTGTTATGAATGATCCTATAGAGCTAAGCATTTATAAATTAAAATTTTAAGGATAAAAGAAAATTCGTCATGATAGAAATGCTTTTGAAGATTAAAATTAAAACTTTTACTGACCAAAACCAGATATCACTTTTAAAAATTATACTTAGAGTGTTTGAAGTTATGGAATTCAGAGATTCTGGTAGCGTGGAAGGGCAAAGAGGAGATGGTTTTATTACTTGTGAAGGGGAGGGGATCATCTTTCATTCTTCTTATATTAGTCTGTTTATAGTCATTTAATAATGATGAATAGCCAGAGAGATTATTCTGTGATAAAATGTCTAGTAGATTTAGCTCATGCTGACCACACCGATTTGCAGGCAGCTCCTGCTGCATGGTTTATGGTGCATACCTTTATCTACGGAGTCTCCCAGCACCTCAGCGCACCATCTGTCTGTCCCTCCCAGCCACTGTGCACTATCTGCCCGCTCTTCTACAGCCCTTGCCGGAAGTTGCTGTAGTCCCACTGCCCCTACTGTAGCAGTGTGCACAAAAGTGTGCGTGTGTGTGTGCGTGCTTGTGCACATAGTGGAAGTCTCGATCTAAGGAGTCTCCCAGCACCTCAGCGCCCCATCTGTCTGTCCCAGCCACTGTGCACTATCTGCCCGCTCTTCTGCAGCCCTTGCCGGAAGTTGCTGTAGTCCCACTGCCCTTACTATAGCAGTGTGCACAAAAGTGTGCGTGTGTGTGTGTGCGTGCTTGTGCACATAGTGGAAGTCTCCACTCTTCCAGATTTGCAGAGGAGGTGGGAGAGGTATCCTAAGGATCCTGGGTGAAATTAGGAATGAGTTTTCACATTAAATGTTTATCAAAGCAGTTAATTTCTATGGAAATTTCAGCACCAAAGAGGGGTGTACTGAGAAGCAAAAAGGGGCTTAAGTCCATGACCCCTTAGTCCAAGGGGTAATTGCACTTTTGTGTTCCTTATCTTGAAGATGACTCCCCAAATTGTAAGTGCTTCAAACCCTACAAAACCTGGATTGTTTCTGGTCAGCACTGCTGTTTCATTACAGGATTCCTCTTTGGGACTTTTTGTAGTCTACCCTGAAAGCCTCGCTACCATATAGAATGGTGCTTCAAGGAGTATCTACTGAGAAACAAACAACACTGACATGCAACCTGCTCTCGGCCCTGGGAAGTTGTCTAGTCCCTAACTAGGTCCTTAATAAGTGTTTGGTGATTGAATAATAGCGAAATAAATGAAGGGAAGATGGATATACTTGAAGCACTTATTGAGTGCTTCTCGCTGCGAAGTAGAATTATGGTGATTTTAATTTTCTTCATGCTCGGCTGAGTTTCTGAAATTTCTAAATACAGTTGACCCTTGAACAACACAGGGGTTAGGCGCACTGACCTCACACGTCAGAAAATCCACGTATAACCTTTGACTCCCCCCAAAACTTAGTTGTCTCTCAGTCTCTGGGGGGGATTGGTTCCAGGACCCCCATGGATACCACCATCTGTGGATGCTCCAGTCCTCTATAAAATAGTGTAGATCAGTGCATCCAGTTGGCCCTTTGCTTCTGTGGACTCCCAACTGCAGATCATCCAAAACAGGACTGGTATGTATTGAAAAAAAAAATCCACATTTAAGTGGACCCACACAGTTCAAACCCATGTGGTTCAAGGGTCAACTGGATTCTACAATGAGTATGCATTACTTTGAGTAATTGAAAGTGTGCTTTAAAAAGGCATGGCATAGATGTTCTTTAATGTATGCAATGCATGCATGAAGTGCCTGCTCTGTGGCCTTCTGTTAGTGTTTAGGATGCCAAGTCAAAGAAGACACACAGTGCCTCGCCCTCAAAAGAAATCTACATGGCCAGTCACTGTTCCCAGCCCTGAAAGTATAAAATACAACACAGGCCAACATGTATAGAGCTTGGTCTATTCAGGGTGGGCTTTGTAGATGAGAGGAGAGAGGTGGGGAGACACATGAGCTTGCTACCCTTCAGGATCCTTTAGGATCATATCTAGATACAGACTTCTTTCATTTTACATAGGAGTAGGTGTCAGGCACCAGAGAAGGGTTGACTACATTTGGGATGAACCCAGCAGATAGATTTCTCCTTCCCCTCAACTTTAAGAAGGAATGCAGAGAAAAAAAAAGTCTACTAAATTGGGGGTTAAACTACATATCTGAAATAACAGCTGAGTTATGGAGTGCTTGCCATGTGTCAGGCATCATGCAAAGTGTTTTGCACATATTGCCACCTCATTTTAATTTCCTTTTACTTTCACAACAAGCTTATGAGGTAGGAGCTCTTCTATCATGAATCCCATTTTACAGACAAGAAAGAAAGGCTAAAGGAAGTGAAACAAGTGGCCTAATGTAAGAGATGGCAGCTGGCAGCCCCTGGCTGGAATCTTAATTAGCCCACTTTCCCTTCTTAACTACCCCTCTTCAGGAAGCTAGACTACAAAGAGTTCTGGTCCAAAAAGAAAAACAAACTAGAATGCGGATAGCTTAAGAAATAGAATACAAGCCAGTTTCAAAAACAATGTGATACCAGCCTTTTAAATTGAAAAAGGGAGCCCACTGGAAAATCTTTTTTTTCCCCCAAAAAAAGGCCGACTTCCTATGGGTGGTTATGAACTCATTTCACTAAACTAAATTATGGATTTGCTTTTCAGTTAAGAGTCTCATCACTGTCACAGCTCTGGTGTGCCCCTTTCCATTTTCCCACTTCCTCTCGGCTGAGAGTGAGAAATGATTGGTTGGTGTGCAATCCGCGGGACCCAGGAGGCTCTTTCTGACCCTATTGTTTTCTTGGGTGTCCTCACCCTGGAGGCCTGACATTCCTCACGTGTCTAGGGCAATGCAGGAGCAGCGAAGCGAGGGGAAGCCACACAAAGGCATCCAACAGCTATCAACGCTGAAAGATCAATTAAGTGCACACACGGAACACCCCATATGGCCGGGGAGAGGAGAAGAGTACCTTTCCCCAGAGGGTGGGAAATTCACCCCCTGTGAGGATCCGCAAAAACGGAACAGATAAAGTGGTGGACGGCGATCTTTCTAGACCCCAGCCATCCCAGACCTGCCCAACTGGCGCAGCCTCCTCCCTTTAGTCCCAAGAGGCCGGGAAGGGCGGGGAGGGGCGAAGGGCGCCAGATCTCGGACCCAGGGTGCGCCCGTCACTTTCCCTCCAGTGCCGCTCGCACCGAGTGGCCGGTGCTTCATTCATCTTGCAGGAACCACCGCTCCAGGGCAGGGCGGAGGCGGTTCGGTGGCGGGGCCGGGGCCGCTGGGCTGCCAGGACCGCGAGGAT